AAAACAAACAAGCAAGCTGAAGCGAACCAGAGACATGGAAATAAAGAACAATCTGACAGTGACCAGAGGGGAGGCAGGAGGGAGATGACAGGGGGAAGAACGGGGAGGGTCAAATCAAGGAATGTGTATAAAGGACCCATGGACAAGGACATGGGGTAGGAGGGTAAGGATTGAATGTGGGGGGAGGGGCAGGGCAGGGGAGAACAATGGGGGGAAATGGGTACAATTGTTATTGAACAACAATAAAATAATTAAAAATAAAAAAAGAGCCACAGTCTTTATGCCATTATTATCTTAGCTCTGTACTTTTTGAAATTTTCTCTGACCTATGTCAAAGGGCTAGTCCACTGCTTGGGTGCAGGGGAGGAGCAGAAGGCTCCCACCCTCCAAAGCTTAAACAGAATGAGTGCCTGCAGGCCAGCTGGTCCTCCTCCATGAAGTGAAGGTGGGGAGAGGACATCATCCACGTACTCTAAGCCAGTTGGCATCCTACAATTTTGAGTTAATGAATCCATCTATTTGGATTTTGAGTGCTGTTCTGAGAATACTGGCTAAATATCTTGTTTTGAATTTGAATGAATATTTAATATAAATTCTTCTTGTAGAAAACTCAACTATTCATCACTGGAATAGTTGTCATAAAGATTTCAAGAAGTAAACTAATAAACGGGAGGATATGTAGGAATGAAACAGACTCATTTTTTATTTGCTTGATTTTTTAAAACTTTTTTTTTTGCTGTAGTTTAAAATATAGTACTCATGATATGCCCTGGCTAGTGTGGCTCAATGGATTGAGTGCCGGCCTGTAAACCAAACAGTTGCTTGTTCGACTCCCAGTCAGGACATGTGCCTGGGTTGCAGATCAAGTCCCCAGTAAGGAGCAGGCGAGAGGCAACCACACACAGATGTTTCTCTTCCTCTCTTTCTCCATCCCTTCCCTTCTCTAAAACAAATAAGTAAAATCTTTAAAAAATAAAATAAAATATAGTGCTCATGATAAACATAATGCATATTTATAATAGTGGTATTTGAAGATGTGATTAATAGCCATTTACAAATTAACATATAACATATTTCTTTTGTGTAAAACTTACTAGACTTTCACTACTTTACTAATTTGGAGAAGGCACATAAAGCAACCTGTAATGTGTCCAAATAACGCAATAATTCCCACACTGTTTCTTCCCTGGAAATGTCCCTGGACATTTTATTTATTTATGTTTTAATGGATTCCTGTTCTCTTTCCCCTGCTCTTTTTCCCTGGCGGGAGGGATGCTGTTTCTTGCTGGCGTCAAGAAAGTAGACCCGACACCATTTCTTCTGTGACTACTCTTCCCCTCCCTTTCTACGCTAAGATCATGCACTGCATGTAATACATTAGTATGTTTTTCATGCAACAAAATTTCTTTCTTTCTTTCTTCCTTTCTTTGAAAATTGCCTGAAAACCCAATATCTATAGGGAATTTTCTTCAGTTAAAATATACAAATGAATAAGGAACATGTTTGGTGATCCTCCTTCCTTTGTGCCCCCCAACCCCTGCATACACACAAAAATCACCCTTTTGCATCAAATGCAGGCACATGTATGTTTCATTGTCCTGCTTCACTTCCCCTTAGCTAAGAGGGTTACACTGAGTAAATCAAGAGTCAATAAATACAAGTTTACAACCATTGACGGTGCATTTTCTCTTGTTTACTTGTATTTCAATACAATGTTTAATGCACATGTGACAGTAATCTGTATGTTAACCTTTATAATCTCTTCAAATGTTATATATCTTTGACTTTTTAGACATACAATTCAATTGAAACAGGCTAAAGCTAGAAATTATTGTAATGGGGATAACTAATTAAAGCTAGTAATTAATGGAGACATTCAAATTGATTAAAAGGTAGCATGTCAGGTAAAGGGAAATAATCTTAAATGGTATGAAGAGTATATCAGATAAAGTTTCAGATTTGGGACTGAAGAAATTGCATTTTTCTTTGCAGATTTATTTATTGTAACTAGTCCAAGAATGAGAAGAATATTAGTAAAGAAAATGTGTATATGTGTAAGATTAATAATTTTCAAATATATATTGTGTATATATATATGCATCTTACAACTAGAATAATCCATCCTGTTATGAAAACCTAGTTCCTTCTATTCAGCCTCTTTGTGTACATTTTGAAAAGTCATTTCTGGATCTTATCATTCTTCCCTGGAGACCTTGCCTTTGGCAATTACAACACAGCAGAAAAAATACTGAACACATGCTCTACACCTTTTCCAAATATGACTTATCTACCTCTGTCTATTGTTAACCTTTTAAGCGGGAATGATAGATGTAAGTTTAAATTCAAGATTTTGAAGCTAAGTTTTATTTTAAAACACCTTATCCTTTAGCTTACTCTGCAGAAATACTCCAGCCATGAATCTAAAATATCTTATTTTATGAATCTATAAGCATTTAAGAACAACTCAGTAATAGCTGTGCTAGTGGTAGGAGAAATCATGTCTTTATCACTTTATTGTATTTGTCCTTAACACTTTATTGCATATTTATATTTATATTATATTTATATAGTCCAGCAGAAGTAAGGTTTGCTCGAGTGCGGTTGGTAGGGTATGTGAATGTCTCACACGAGATGGACAGCAATTTGAACATTTCATCTAAAATGTCACATGGTGTGCTTGAGTATGATATTGTTATGTTACAGAATTACATGCTTATGATTTTGTAATAAATGATTTTGTAATTAAAAGGGGTGTTACTTTGCTGGAACTGTATATATATCAGAGTATCTCAGAGTCTAAATAAAGTATTCTGAGTAATATTATTTTGATGTAATATAGTGGCCTGTCTAGAGGTTATAAATACTTTTCCACTTGGTTTCTCCATGTTCAAAGTTATCATTAAAAGAAGCTAAGAGAACTGTTAGGTTTGAGAGGCAAAGAATGAAAGAAGTGGTTTCCTTTGTAACTTAAATTTTTAGGCTACTTGAGAAAATTTTTTGACAAATAAAAGATGAATGAAGATTAATTAAAAAGTGGAACTGAATCTGGTATTTAATTATAAATGTAATTTATATTTCCTACTTGATTATGTATTATCAAACTTGAAAAAGAATAAAACATACATTTTTAAGGCTGTATAGTATTCCTTTGTAAACATAAAATGTCACCATATCCTATCAGAGAGGAGGAAAAAGTAACTTTTAAACCAAGCTTATGTCAAAGGTTACTATTTTTAAACTTCTTGTTATATTATTTGTCTTATCCATTCTTAGTTTTTGAAAACTGATATTTTCAATGTTAATGTTTAAATCATATGCTAGCAAAATATATTAGAAGATCATATTCTCAAGTAAAAAAAGTGATTAGTATCATAATTTAATTTTTTATTGGATAATGTTTCTTTACTTATATTTGAAAAGACAAGTGTACTGAATACTGATTAGTAAGGTAGAATCTTTATAGAAGTAATAATATGAGTGAACTATAAGTCACTACATTTAAAGAAAATATAGTAAACATAAGTAAATGTACAACTATTGGAACTTACAAGTATAGTAAAGAAGTATTTGATTTCTAAATCCAACTTTTAAAATCTAAGATGTTTTAAATTAATTGGTAACAAATGCCAGAAAGACCTTTGTCACTAGCCAACTTTCATTCCTTAAGCTTAATTTTAATCAAAACCTCTTACAAATTCACAAAAGCTCTTTAAGATAATCAATGTCTTTAAGAATTTTATCACATTAACTACTTGACTGCTAGTAACAAGAATGAGCTTTATGCATCCTGATGATGGCCATTTCACTCGGCGCAGTGAGACACTGCGCGGAATACAGGTAACTCCAGTTCCTCCTTAACGAGCAACGTTCAGGTTCACACAGCGACCCCCTCTGCATCCCTGTTGAACTCATTCACACACATATAATCTCTCTTACTCCATGACACTGTGAAAATCTGTCTGAACACCTCAAACCTCCAGAGAACTCTGACAAATTGTACCTTATTCAGTTGTGAATCTCTAGGGCTAAGCACTAAGTGTGGCCATAAAGTAAATGAATGAATGAATGAATGAAATAAGCAAAGGAAGTTCAACTATACTGGCAGCCAAACTTCTTTAAGTTAAAATTAATTGAGATAATTTGTTGACTGTGTAAAGTTATATAAACCTATATAACATATTTGTAGGCAGTGGTGCTGAAGACAGTGAGAAAGATGAAAAAATTAAACTTTAAAGGTCAACAACTTCTAGATGGAAACTTAATCACCTCAAAGCATCATATTAAATGGTACATTTTTCCTTGGCAATCATAAGACTTCAGAACAAGACCTGACCCAGAGTTATTCAATACTAACCTAATAAATTCTGTAATCTGGTATACAAAGTTAGTGTAATATGAAAAAAATGGAGGATAACATGTCATTGATGCTTATATTATATTGATAAAATATGGCTTGATTCTTTATCTCAAAAGTCAGTATTGAAAACATACCTATTTAAATATTTTAAAAATCCTGTGTAACCTTTAAAATATGTTTAGCTACAAAAAGCTTATGCCCTAATTGCACTGTCTTCATTCATAAGCAATGAAGAAAGGAATGAGTTTATTTTCTAGTGTCTCTTCACCATGGTCTTGCACTACATGGTATTAGACCTTGTGTTCATGAGGCTACCCAAATGTTTTCTAGGTACTAGGAAGGTGGAGCGGAGAAAAAATCATGCATCCGGCCCCCCAAATAAGCCTAAATTTCCATGATGCAACCTTTTTCACCCAGATTCAATTAGTGCACTTTTACAGTAGTTTGAAGTTCTGATAGCAGGCTCCCTTTTTAAAAATTGCATATCTATGTCTGTGATTCACAGCCAACATATTATTTGGTTGCTACGCATTTTATGGTTTAGACATGAGTGACAATACTGAATGTGTCCTAAGAAATAAAGTAAAAACTGCATCAAGTTATGAAGATTCAAATAAGGACATTTTTTTTAGTACGACTGTACCTCGTTCTCCCTTCTGACACTTCTTCCTTGGCACTGTACACTTTCTGGTCTCGCTGGTTGGGGGACACAGGTTGCCTTTTGCTGACGGTTGCTGTGTTATTTCCCGGACCCTTGTTTCAGTCCCTCTTTTGAAACCACATGTTTTTCCTTTCTTCGTGCATGGACTCCAAGGACTCCACTCACTGGCTTCACAGTGCACTGAAACAGAGCAGCAGACACAGACTCAGCTGGCTCACAGGTACGTTCCAGATCATTATGCAAACCAAACGGCTTGCTTCCCTCAATACGTGCCCGAGCGTTCTGAGTGGAAACCCTGCAGAACCAAGTAGGGCAAGATGATTTAATACGAATGTAAAGGGAAAGGCAGGAATAGAATGTTTTCAGGTGTCTAGTACTCATATTGTCAGGTAAATTTATTCTTACATTAGGTTTACTTTTCAGTTTAGATTTGATTAACCAGCAACTAATATAATTACTTACAGTTGACCGATGTTTTACAATTTCTAAACACTGAACATAACTTGATAGAATAGTCATTGATTCTGACCAGAACTTGATAGAATAGTCATTATTATGGGCTAGAGAACTGACTCTCAAACTGTAGCACACAACAGAATCCCCAGGAGGGCTTGCTAAAACACAGAACCCCAGGTCCTACCCACAGTGTTTCTGATTCAGTTGTCTAGGACTGGGCCTGAGAATCTGTAATACTAACAATGTATGCAATACTGATTGGCAGGTACTGAGAACATGCTTTGATAACTTCATTACAGAATTGTAAAGCAAAAAAAAAAAAAAAGAATCAGTTCCTCAGCCTTCAGTTCACTATCTCTTCTACTTCATTGATCTTGGGTACTTAAATATTATCATTTTTAATTGGTATGGCTCAAACATGGCAACATCTATTTTGAGTGAATTCTGGGTCAATTTCAGCTGTTAGACCGATGCTAGAATTAACTTGACCAAGTGATTCCTAAGATCAACTGATGTACTTTCTCTAAAGCTTCTTTTGCAGAGTTGGTCCTTTCCTTTATGCGTTAATCTCTTCAATCAGCGCGTTTCAAAGTCAGATTTTTGTACTTCTAATAAAAATAAATATCTGTAAAGTGCTATTCTTATATTTATGTCCACAGACTTCCTAATTTTCAACAACTATAACAGCTTGTAATAGTAACTCTTTCAGATGATAAAACAAGTTTCTCTCCACAAAAAGAAGTTTCTAGTAAATTTTCTTACTGCATTCTGATTCACAGAATTCTTACTTCTGGGAAGAATTCTATATTTTATACATCCTCAAGAGATAGAACAGAAATGCTTTAGAAATTCAAGTCCATTTGGCACACATTTTTTCACATGCTTTTTCAGTCACTCTCAGGTATCTGAACATGACACAGAGTTAAATGGAAATGATTAGATAAGTGAATTTAAGCTTCTATGAACTCAAATGAACTTTATTGAACCACTTTCAAAATAGTCTTCATGCTCTGTTATAGTAATGTTAGAGCAACAAAGTCACGTAATGATATTATGGTCTCTTGCCAGTTAAGGAAGTATCTTCCATCCCAATATTAATCATTAAAAAACAGTGGATCTTCAGCACAACAAATAAAAAGACCTCCAAGAAGCTGCATGGAAAAATAAAAATCAAAGTTTATTAGCTATCACTTTGTCTAGTATTCATTTAATGCCAGAACTAAGAGGACTAAATGAGAAAAAAAGTATATGATGTGGAAATGAAGAGCAACTTTGTTGCTTTCTACAATAACAAAGGTGCTCTTGGCAAATGTATACTCAGACTTCAGAAAAATGTTGTAAAAATTACAGCTAGCTACCTATGAGTCCTTAGTCAGAGGACAAATGGTTCTAACAATGGAATTCTAATAATAATATTCTAATAATAGATAATATCTAATAATGGATAATTCTATTGATAAAGGAGGGAAAATATTCAAAACTAAAGAGTTCAGATAGTAAAAAGCTCTAATAAGATGGTATATTAAATAGCTTTGAGAGAAGGAAAATTTCTCCTGGAGAAATACTATGGAAGGAATCTATAGTATTAGTGTCCAAAAACATTTCTGAGAAAAATGGAAAACATGTAAGGACAATAACAAGGGTAGCAAGTTGTTCAGGTCATTAAATGAACCACATAGACCCAGGACACTATTCGGTTCAGAGGTAACTAAGAAAAAACAGGACTACTCCACTTCCGCATTTATTCTATCTTCTCTATGAAGATAAGTCTTAGTCCAGGAAATTAACTATTCACTAACAAAGCAAGTGCCTCCCAAGCATAACTGGTTGCTGGTCCCAGGACGTGGCCACGCTGTGGTGGATCATCAGTCAGGAACGCGGTAGGAGGGATTATTGAACTGGGAGGAAAGCTGAACTGGATGTTCCACCAGTACTTACAACACCATTATAACATTATTACTTGTTTGCTTTCATTCTTGTTGGCTAACTACATGGTTCCACAGAGAACACAGCAAGGGCAAGTTCCTTACTACTCACTCTTGGAGCTGAATATCTTCCCTTTTTGACTACTTAACAACGCCAACTTTCCAAGAGAAGCAATAAGGATGAGAGAATGGAATGACAGTTCAGAAAGGAAGCAAATATCTGGAGTACAAAGCAGCAGAAATATGTTCCCCTATAAAACTGAGTGCAGCGGATATTTGTGCTTGACTTGACCTGTAAACCATGGCAATGGATGTTTGTGAGACTTTTATCCCAGCTCTCTATCAGGGTGGTGATATCTATGTTTATGGCCTTTCTTATCCATTGAAAATCTAGGTAAGAAACAAGCCATACACTGAGATTTTAGCAAAGAGAGGGAGAAACACATTCTTCAACCTGTTGGGTGAACACTGGAGAGCTAGAGTTAAGGTACTAATTATAGCACTGACAATAACTCACTTGCATCCTTGAGATCATCATTTCAGCTCTCCGAGTTCTAGTTTTCATATTTGTTAAAGGAATAGGCTTTAATGGTCCTTTGTGATAATTAAGCAAGTCATCATTTCTCATGGAATTCTGGGGCAAGCCCATGGGCATGGCCTGCACAGGACAGGTGAGACACTGCATGACGGGAGACACTTCACAGGAAGTGAGCGACAAGAGCCAGTCCTGAACCAAAGCTGCTGATTTGCATTGCCAGTGTGTCCCAGGTCAATGAGCCAGGTTTACTAAAGGGGTTTTATATTGTTAACCCCTACTCTAAAATGTATAAATTCTTTAATTTTATTGTGTTAAGAAATAGTCTTTGTCTTGGTGGTAGGATAAATTTCCAGTAAGCTTTAAAGGCTCATCCAATAGTTCTAATTGTTAAATGCTCTCTCTGATAAGAAAGCATTGACAAATTTAAAATAAATATCCTTTCAAGGACTAAATGCTACGCTTCCAACAACTAAGAAAAATCTAAATAGGCGCCCTTTTTCTGGGTAGAGAAATATCACACACTCTCTGCAAGTCATCTTGAACTTCTGTACTTCGATATTCCACAGAACTGTTTCCTGTTATTTCCACAGTAACTTTGACCTTATTTTAAGGTGTTTTTCTGTGTTTTTATTGACTAAATTTTAAAAAAAGAAAGAGCCAAAATAAGTCATGAACTGTTCAGGACTGTTGTTTTCTAGATGCTCTGAAATTATCTTTGACATATCATTTATTTCCTTCTGCCAAAACCTTTGTTTAGAAATAAATGTTCTGTGTGGATCTGAAATGGTTAAATCACCACTTCAGAGTTATTACGCCAGCACTCTAGGTTCTAATGGATCTGTCTGTGGGGACCCCAGGAGAGTCCTGGAGTCTATCTTGTACTGAATCAGGAGGACATTGTGTGCATATGCCAACATCAGCGCAGCATCAAAGGTTCTTGTAGCTCTAGCCCAGGGGATTTTGAGATTTAGTATGCTGTTTTCCCATTTGGTTTAGCATCTGCTCCCCAAGTGTTCGTCAAACTTGTAGCTGTAGTAGCTGCACAGCATTTAAAAGAAGGAAAATATAGCCTGACAGTGATCTGTTATTTAGACAAACAACTTGTCTGAGGGACCTCCCCTCCAGGAAACTCAGCCTGCAATTAATCAGACCCTGGGACTGCCTCCTCCGTCAGTGTGAGTAAGTCCAAAATCTCCCCTTGTTTCCCAATATCTGCGTAGCAGGTCATTTCAGCAAAGCAGTGGGAAAGGAAAGAGTAAGAGTTTTAACTGTATCAGCTCCAGTTCTCTAGGTATTTGATCTACCCACTGGGCATGTTTTTGCTCTCCTTGGAAAATAACTTTGGTTACTAAATGAGATTAGACCTAGGTGTTTTGTAAAATTTTTGCTCTAAGGTTGAGTTCAAGACCTAATATATGTATGGTCAAATATATAGAGAGTGTATATATAGTGTGTATATATATATTAATATATATATATTACTATAAGTAAAACTTCATTAAAGATACAAAACAAATCCATACTGATAAGGGTAGTTGAAGTAATTATTAACGGTCTCTAAGAAACAATGGAGCTCGCACAGGGTGCTAACTGTGCTCTAATACATGCTGGGTAAAGTCATGAAAACATTGCTGAGATGTGAGGATGGCGAGAACCTCTTAGGGATGGTCCCTCAGGTTCTTTTGAAATACCACGTTGAGAAGCACTTCCACGGAGACTCAGTTATCACCGGAGGTGTTCCTCATGCTTTGTAAACCTTAAAGCTCCTCCTCACCAATACTGACGCACTCCATGGTGTGGTTGTTGGCTTCCAACCCTTCTGGGCAATTGTCAAGGCACTTTCCAAGGTGTAAGTAAAATCCACTTTTACACTTTGTGCAGAAATTTTTGTTGAAACAGGTATCACAGTCAGCTTTGCATTCTGAAAGAGAAAAAGAAGTGAGAAACAATTTTTCATTATTTTCACTCAGCTATTATTGGGCCAGTTCTGTATACTTACAACACTGGCACATATGACTTCTGTGTCAAACAACCATTCAGGCTTCAAAATGATCTTGCCAAACTAAATTAAGGACTCCCCCTCAGTCATTTAGTTGACATACATAAGTCATTGATTTTAGAATTGTTGTACTGTTTGCCTTATGAAAAAAAAATTGGCAGTAAGTCTACTACCAAGAATATTTATAACCAAATATCTACTTATATTCAATGATAGTGAAAATATTTCAGCATTTGCCTATTTCAGAGGGTAAAGTCCAAGCAGCGTTTACCTAATTACCAGGTAAATATTATTATAGCATTGAATACCATTGAATACCACAAATATTCTAGAGGCATTTCAAATCTGGAAAGTCCCCAAGGATGAGATAAAAACATAATTTTGTGTAGGCACTTACTTGTACACTTATTTATATCTGGATATCGAGTTCCGTAATATCCACCTGGGCATGAAGAGAGACACACTCCGATCTGCTTCATGCCAATTCTTTCCAGAACAAAGAATAGTCTGGGCTTACATGACAAACATCCATTGTAATCTGAACACGTTGCACAGCCTCCTTGGCAGCCTTGACTGACGTTAGGATGCACTGGGGGGCACATGTAGAAAGACAACAACGAAGGTTAAATTGTTAATAGAGAAGGCCAAGGACATTCTCCGGGTAGGATCTACATTTTTTTTTCATTAATTTTCAATTAGGTGGTAATGGGAGAATGAGTTGTGATTTTTCCCCTCTTTTTTGTGATTTGATATTTCCTTTTAATATGTACATACGTTGTTTCTGATTTGAAAGGCCTTAAAATTTGAGCATGTAAAGTATAATATATTGCCTCACACTGTTTATTATTACGTATATCCCAATTGAACTAGCACTCTGGCAGATCAGAGATACTAATTTTGTGCTCATTCATTGAAATCAATGCACATTAGTTTTGCTTTTCATTTGTGGTGCATGATAAGCCGTCTCTCATTTCTTCAAGCACGGATGACAACATGCACTGGGGCTTAACTGAAGGACACTGTGTTCTAGGATATCTTTTTTCAACTATGGTCTGTTAGAGTACACAGTTTTACTCTTGATCCATTGCTAATTGGTTCTGAAACTATGTAGCTATTCGATTCCCACCTGCCAATGCTTTCCTGAAATATTTCTCCTCGCATTAAACTCACATGAGTTTAATTTTAATCAGTTCAAACTGATACATGGTGAAAATTTGATATTTATGGAAATACTGTTATTTAAATGGAAATACTGTTACTTCCACGTGGATCATACGTGAGTATTTAAAAGAACTTACGTTCGACACTATTACGCATTGGCAGAGAAGTCCTGTAGGGTTTGTGTCCTCATTGTCCATTTACTCCCGTGAAATGTGTATTGGTGAGGACATGACACTAAGACTACGTGTACACACATTCCTGAGAATTCAAAGGTTTTCAGGAGTCATTTAGTTGTGTGATAAGACTATCCATTAGCAAGTCATAACTATTATAAACCAACACTTGGAAGACTCATGTTTACTTGACATCTTCACAACTTTAGACCTTTCTACAACTATCTGGTCATTGACACCTATGTGTGAGCTGTTGGAAAACTGCTGGTAACTAGGGCAAATCTCATGGAGCTGGTATTCAGAATGGTTTAGTCCACTAACATATTCTCTATTTCAGTACAATATTAATAACTTTATTGCCCTTTCTGGAGTCCAGAAGGGAAAAACCCTGACCCTTATGAGAAGCAAAGGTTGATACATTAGTGTATAAATGCATCCCAGTATATTTCTAACTTTTTGTGTCAGTGGTGGGAGGGACAGGCTCTGAAGGACCTTGCCATCATTAGTCTGTTTCACAGTGATTTCTGATACTAAGTTCTTTTACCACAAACACAAATCCCCCCAGGTTTACTTGGAAGGGGTACCCATAAGCCCAATGAGCCTCACCACAGGGTGCACGGGTTAGCTACAGAGAGGTCACTCAGTTGACCAGCACCCTCTGCCTGGAGGAAACCATCCCCGAATCAGCCACAGGAACCACAAGCAGCTCATTCTCATTCCAAGACGTTTTGTAAATAAACTGAGGAAATGTGTGGGGGAAGGGAAGTCTGCTTTTCCTGCACATGCTCCTCTGTGGGGTGGGGCAGACATATAAAGTGGCACAGGAGGTTTAGACATTATAGGACCAGGGGGACTCGTAAGTGAGGACTGCTTTCCAAGTAACAGGGTAATTTTTCATGCCAGTAACTCAGCATTGGAGACTTACAGAAAATGTGTATGTATTTTAAGCGGGAAAAGACCTTGAACTGGAAAGGAGGGAAGAGAGCTCCATGTGTTCTGAATCTAACTGACCCATTTTAAGAAACTAGAGGTGTAGATTAAAAACAAAAACAACTCATGAAACTGTTTTATAAAACTCTGTGGAAAAGTGGACTTCAATTTGAAAGAAAATCATTCCAAACCCAGGGCACTGAGTGACTCTGGGTTTACACAAGGATGGATTGGCTCGGTCCACACCAGTCTGTCCCTGTCTCTGAAATGCAGCTGCTTGGAGGAAGCAAAATATACTTTTGAGCACCTTGAAATGTTTGTCAATGATGACATAACTTTAGATAAATCCGCTATGAAAATAAACATGATTCACATGTTCAGAGGCTCAAAAACCAATGATGAACATTAAAATAAATTTCACTTTAACAATTGAGTTTTGATGTTTGGAAACTTTTCCAGGAAATTACGGTATGGGTCCCACGATTGGTAACAATTTGCACCAAAATTATGAGGGTGCCCAATTCCCTCTTTAAAACTTTTACTGATGAAACACAGCATAGTCCACTCATCCAGTGTGTTATGATCATTCTTTTTGCTTGCTTTTTGAAAATATGTTTCCTTTCTAGACACAAATGTTTAACAGAATAACTTTTTTGCAAGAGGAAAGACATAGTTGTCCTAACTGGCAAAGAAACTCCTGTTTGTTTTTTCTTAATCAGGTAATATCGAGTATGACCAGGTACATATCTGATGGCAAACTTTACTCCTTCAGGAAGGTTTAACTATTATGTCGTGGGAAGTAAGAAGAATGGAGACTATGAAGTTCATATTATAAGGTTCTAGATTTTTTTTATAGTTGAGTGTCATAATGATTACTTTCTTGAAAGCTGTATAATGATCACTCAAATTATATAGTCAGTATTACACAACTAGACACACATTTCCCAAACTTCATCTTAAGGCAAGAGTTTTTACTTTTTATATGGAAACCACAGAAAACTTTGGTTTGAATTGACTGTAACAACCCTTTCAACCTTCAAATCTTATGATTCTAAGACAGAAAATAGAATTCCACTTTGTCATGTTTCTTTTTTGTTCCATTCTAATAATATACCATTTTGTATTTTTGAATCACTTTTTCAAGTGATGTTGTTGCACTATTATTCATATAATCGATGGAGGTGTTGGTGGTGGGGAGGTTTCACAGACTACTTAATTTTAGACAATGAGCTGAAGTTATCAGGATGGAAGTGGCCATGATGGGGTTTGGGGAAGAAACACCACAACGACCACATCAAGAAGGAGACTGGCACGAGTTCAGTGCAACTGATGCTTAAGTAGTGGTTAACGGGAGCATGAGGAACATCAAGGAGATCAGAAGCACATGGTAGATAGATCTAGATTATGAAACCCTTTGTGGGCCAAGGACATAATCTGTAGATATGGGGAATTTAAATCTGGTGAGTCATATGATCACATTTGTATTGGAAAGGTGATTTTCCTTGACAGCATGGCAGGCATGGAAACCAGGAGACTAATGTGATCGAGTAAAAGACTGGTAATACCTTAAAATATATCTGGAGCAATGTGATGGGTGAGAAAAGGATGCATGTTCCAAAAATATTTAGGAGGTGAAATCAATTAAATGTGCTGATCAACAGAATGTGGACTGAATAAGAAAGAAGATTTGAGAAGGTGTGTTTTGAGTTCCAACTACTGAATAGGAAAGAGAGGATGGCTAGGGGACTGAAAACCTTCTGCTGGAGTTTTAGAGCAAGGTATGTAGAACAAAAAGCCTGAAAATATAAACATGGCTTGGGATAACCGATTTTTCAGATTTTACACGTTTTCTAGAAAACAGTGTCCAATAGATAGAGCTTTGTAGTGTGATGGTTGCTTGAGATGTACGTGTTAGTCTCTGGTGGTAGGTACTTAATCAGAGAAGGCATCTTGAGAGGGGAGGTGCTGAAGAATGTCAGAAAAGGAAACAGAACCTCAAATAAGGTACATTTAATACGAGAAAAAGATATATAATCCACTGATTTAAATATTGCTTTGTATTTCAGTACCACTTTTGCTTCCAAAGAAAGCTAAATGAACTGTTGTAACTGTTGTTGGTAATGGTAGGAGCTACAACAATTATTTATTTTGAAACCCCAAACTAGGACTCAAAGAAATGCTGTCAAGTACCAGACAAGTAGTAACTTAAGATCGAAAGTTAGAACCTAGATCTTTGATATTTCATATCGATCCCTGTATATGTAAGTAAATTTTAGAAGTGTAATATGGGTTATTATTAAGTGGAAAAATGGGCAGAATTCCCAGAAACTTTCAACTGGGACCTTCTGATTACAAATGTGTCAAATACATGGTAAAATTAGGATGCCTTTCCTCAAAATTGGTAAAGAGGAAAGTATTTTTTTTAAACCTGTATATAAAGGTTAAGTATGAAAGAGTATGTATTAATGATTAACAAATAATTTTCCAGTGTGTGAACTTTTGATACTCTAAATGACTTCATTATTGTTTTTAACTGTTAAAGAAGACTTCCCACTACTTCTCAATTTAAAAATCTTGTGATGAATGGCTGAAGCAAGAGTCCCTGAAGGCTATGATCATGAGTGCTAATTCAAGTTTTTTGATAAAACATCAAGAACATATGAGCATTTGGTAAATACACAATATTTAGGTCGCTATTTTCATTTTTATGATATGCCAAACTAATTGCATCATTGGAATCTAGGTTCTGTTTCTGTGACAATTGAAGTGAAGGCTTCGTGAATTTGCTTCATTGTAACCCCCTTCTACAGCTCAACTGCAAATGTACTGACATCTACTGTGAATTGCTATGTGGAAGAGATCCATCGTTGCAGGCTGCCAATTACCTCCGATGATCATTTCTTTGTGGCTAGAGCATTTCCAGAAATTCAATGGACTTTAGTCTTATAAAACTGGTTTGACTAAGTTTAAAAGACATGCTAAATACATCAAATTAAATTGTTGATTTTATAATTAAGATAATGAAAAATCAATAAATTAACAAATTTATTGAATGTTATTTTTTCTCATCTTCATAGCATTCACTGCCTGCTATGCTCTATGGAATAATCTTAAGAGACAAGGTAGGGAGAAGAGACCAGTGAAATTCTATAATCAAAGTTATTTTTACACCTGTTCTTTCCTCCATGTCTTTAGCTTCTATAAGGGCATTCACATTGACTGAAAGCTTCATGAAGGCAGAAGTCTGGCTTGTCTTGATGATTTCTTCATAGCCTTCTTGGTAATTTCCAACTTTTCTACACAGGGCAACTGCTTGTTGAATAGG